CCTGCGGGGTCACCCCACGGCCCCACCCGGGGGACACTGGGGGTGCCCAGCCCGGGGGTCCCCCAGCCCCCTCCGGGAGCCGCAGCCCCCCAGGCGGGTGAGGGGATCGAACATTAACCGGGACGGGTTAATTGGTCACCGATTGTCCCCGCGGGGCCGGGCGGCCCCCCCGCGCCGCCCCCCGCCATAAACGCGGGGGTCCCGCGGCTGCCCCCGAGCACCCGGAGCCAGCATGAGCAGCCTCCAGGCGGTGAGAGCGGGCAGGGGGCTCGGGGGGCTCCCCTGGGGGGCAGAAACACCCCCAAACCCGGGGGGCACAGGAGACCCCCTTGGCGCTGTCCTCCCTGCCGGGGGGGGTGCCACCCCACGGGGGACCCCACCCCAAAGGGTCCCAGCCCAGGGGACCCCCCCGGCAGGTCGGGGGTCCCGGCCCAGGGGAGCTGCTCCTCGCCCCGGGCGGGGTTGGGGGGGTCAGGGACAGCCCGGGGGGGGGGTGCAGGGCCTGGGGAGGGGTCCCACAGCAGCCGTGGGGCAGAGCAGGGACCCTCGCACTGTCCCCAGCAGGGACCCTCGCACTGTCCCCAGCAGGGACCCCCAGGGTCCCCTCCTTAGGGACAACCTGACCCCGGACGCCCCCCGGGATGGGGGACAGCACCCCCAGGTCCGGCCGTGCCCGGGGGGGACAGCGCGGTGATCTGAGCCACCGTGTGAGAGATCGCGTGTGTGACGGTGCGCGACACCGTGCGACAGTGTGCGACACCGTGTGACACCGTGTGACAAAGTGTGAATTGTGTGACAAAGTGTGACCCCGTGTGACAAAGTGCGACCCCGCGCCTCCGTGTGTGACACTGTGACCCCCTGCCGTGCTGGGGGAGACCACCAGGTCTCTTCTTGGTGCCAGCGTCCCCCTGTCCCCAACCTCTGTCCCTGTCCCCGTCCCCTGTCCCTGTCCCCTGTCCCCATCCCCCGTCCCCGTCCCCTGTCCCCACCCCGCGGTGCCCACCCGGGCCCCCCTGAGCCCCCGTCCCCCCGCAGGGCCCCGACTCCTCCGAGGAGCCCAAACCCGGCAAGGCCAAGACCGAGTTCCGCAATTACACCGTGAGTGGGGCGGGGGTCCCGGCGTGGGCGGGGGTCCCGTGGGTACCGGGGGTCCCGTGAGCGAGGGGGGGGGTCCCGTGAGTACCGGGGGTCCCGTGAGCGAGGGGGGGG